GCTGTCAGGATGTACACTCTTGACGGCCGAGAGAAACCCTTTCGGTGTGAGAACTCCTTTGGGAATGGTGGCAGTCCTGTGAGGGGGAAATATCAGATGAGATATATCACGTATGTAATGATCTACTACAACTGTTACGGCTGGTTTGAAAGACCTGCCCCTCTATTGTACTACACTAGAGTTAACACAACAATTTATTTATTTGTTGTGGCAAAACTGATGATAGAGAAAAATATGTGTAGCAGTCTCTTATCAAACCTAGATCAACGTGGATTCAGCAGACTATTTGAGTGGAAATGTTGAGTAAGAGATGTTTTTGTTTATATGTTTATGTATTTTGAAAAATGATTGACGTATGTACTGATGATGAATGTGAATTTATGAGATGATAGTGAGGAAAAAAATGTGACTATTGAAAGTGTCTTTCCCTTCCTCCTTGAATCTTGGTCAAGAGCACAATGGTTTAAGATCACTGTCTCTTGTTTAAGATCACAAGTTGTACTGGTTGCTACTTTCTTTTTCCTATGCTTCTCAATGTCTGAATGATCTCAATGGGGCACTTGATTAAGATCACACTGGTTAATGTATGGATTGATTGCTCTGTTCTGTCTGGTTGCTGATCAGATGAGATGATGAGATGATTGGAATGAGGGGGGAAAGCCCCTCCTTAAATTAAATAGTCTATTTTACAACCCGGCTGACTTGTGGTTCTAGCCCTAACCTATAATCTATAAATGGCCAACTTGTGGTTCTAGCCCTAACCTATAAACTATAATTTATAAATGGGCCAGCTTGTGGTTCTAACTCTAACCTATAACAAATATGCATAAAATCCGGCCAAATTGTGGTTTTGCTATCTATACAAATCTCTCTGTAACTACAACATGTGGCCAACTTGTGGTTACCCTATGCAATGAATGTTGAATATGTTAACAAACTAAGGCCAACTTGTGGTTTGTATTATGCAATAAGCATTTTGTATGCAACTAAACTTAAATCCCAAATAACTGTGTTGACTGAGTGGAGCTAGCCTAGTGGTTCCAGTGAGTGACTATGGGTTAAATGACCCGTAGAATGTGATTATGCCATAATATGCCTAAGAATATATGCCCTTCTACATATTGAACTGTGACTTTATGCAATTTGATACTTGAAACACAATTGGCATACTACACCGGCCGTCAAGGATGTACACTCTCGACGGCCAACAGAAACCCTCCCAGCCGTCGATGATGTACACTCTCGGCCGTTGAGAGTGTACCTCTCGGCCGTCAAGAGTGTACATCCTTGACGGCCGGGAGAAACATTCTTGGCCGTTGAGAGTGTACACTCTCAACAACCGGGAAAGAACCTCTCGGCCGTTGAGGGTGTACACTCTCGGCCGTCAAAGGTGTACATCCTTGACGGCAGGGAGAAATCATTCCGGCCATCGAGGGCTCTTTTTGGCTCGCCGACCCCCAAAACCCACTGGGTTTTGGGGCATTGACTCCGTCCCCCTCCGGGGTTTCATTTTTTTTTTTATTTAAATTTTTTGAGGATTCGACTCCCAAACCCGCTGACGGGTTTGGGGAATCAAATCCCAATACTCGGGGAATACGGGGGAATTTTGGGGGTTTGGGAGTCGACTCTCCAGCCTTTGGGAGTCGATTAACCAAGCCCCTCAATAAAAAAAAACAAGATTAGAAGTGAATTCATGAAAGACAGTAAGAATAAGAGAAGAGGAAGTGTACCACTAATGAGATGGAAAGATATGTTAAAAGACAAGGAATTTGAGTTGAATTAAGAATGTAAAGTTTTTAAGCAAAGCAATCTAAGAAAAAAAGAAAGAAAATGCGTGAAAGAGAAAGATCATGAGGAGACAAGGAGGAAGGAATAAGAAGAATAAAAAACAGCACATTGAGGATTCAATGAGGATACACAAATCAATAAGTGTGCCCAACTAGAGATCTCCACTAGGCAAGGTATCAATCTTGAGGAGAGATGAGAAAAAAGAATGGGATTGGAATGGGTGAGTGAAGCAATTTTGAGCAGCTGATACTTCACATTGATGGGTCTTGAAAGATCAAGTCAGCAATCTTGAGCCTTGGGTCTTGATCTTGTGATGAAACCAAGTATCTTGTTGAGTCTGGGTTTGAAGATGAAGCACTCCAACTTGTTTTTAAATCAGACTGATACAACCCTAACCGGTTGAGACTCTATTTTTCATCTTCTTGCTGAGGAGATAGCAAGGCTTCCCAATTGGTCTCCATTTGACATTCAATGAAAACTCAACAACTTCCCATCAAAATCTTCAGGTCCCCCAGTTTTGATTTAGAGCCTCAAAAGCTAGATTTCCCTGCAAAATATAGATTCTTTGGGTCTTAGTCAAAAACTGGGGCCCCAGATCCAGCAGAAATTCATCCAATCCCTTGAAAATCAAGTTTTAGGTCATTGGAATGAGTATACCACACATGTTTGGATTTCACTCACTCACTCTCTCTCTCTCTCTCTCTTTTGCTCATACATGTCACTCCTTTTTATCACATTTCACTCCTTTCATCCTTGAGAAATTTTGATTTTTTTTCTATATTCATTATGCATCATTGTCCCACAACTTGTGCACCTTGTATCTAGAATACTTAACATTCACTAGATACTGAGAAATTGAAATCATCAGTTCAGCTTATTATTGATCCTGAGTAGACACATTAGCCTCTCCTCAGCCTTAACCGAGTACACATTAGCCTCTCCTCAGCCTTAACCGAGTACACATAAGGCATGACCCCGACACCCGGGGTTCAGGGTTTTGCCCGGATCTGAACCCCAGGGTTCAGGACTCAGGATGAGGTTTTGCAAAACCCCAGAACCCCGCGGTTTTGATAAGTTATGGAGCAAAAGTTTTTTTTTAATTTGTGCTGGCCTCGTTCTTGTATTACATGATATTTTCAGCTAATTCATGTATCAATTTGTATTTTTTTATTGTGTGAGAATCATGAGAACAGAAAAAAAAGGAACGAGAGAAAGAAACAGGACCAAAATGGCCCGTTGAAGGTGTGGAACCAGTATTTGAGATACAAGAGGCCCTCGGGCCTCAACTGTGGTTGGCTTTTTTAGAAAAGATTGCTGCTACAAGACATTGGCAAGGCCGCAAGGTTCAGCTTCCTGCCACTTTTTTCACTTCTTAAGGGCTCTGCCTCTTGGTCCTCCACCCGTTGAGCCCGGTTGGTGTGTCATGTACAGTATCCTCCCAGTTGTTTATGACACATCAATTACTTTATTTAAAAAAAACCTATCACACATGAAATTCTGAGTTTTTGTGGAGTGGTGGATAGGGGGATGATAAAAAGGACTATGAAACAAAAAAAACAAAATGCAAAATGCATTACATTTCAAAAAAATAAAAGCATCATTCAACTTTTTTATTTTCTTGAATAATTTTTTTAAAGATACAAAATCAAGTGAGGAGGGTAGCTGAGAGGTGAGGGATAATGATTATGAAATAAAAAAATAAAAAAAATGAAAAATACAAACCAAAAAATCAATATTTATCACCTCTGCTAGGGTTGACTTGGGGTGGCTTGCAAGGGACCGTTGAAGCTGCATCAAGTCTTGCTCGCTATTCAATCGAGGTCGGTTGCTCTTCTCAGCAGTTTCAACGGTCCCACGAGTCCGAGCTTGTGAAACGATCGAAGAGACTGTCGTTCGTCCGGAGCCCACGACCCTTGCAAATATACCGGCGATGCGAGCCTTCTGCTCGGTTGTGAGGCTGGGCTGTCCTCGGATACGTCCCATCAAATCGTTCCTAATGAAGAAACAAAACAAAAACTCAGAAAAAGAAAAAAAGAAGAAAAAACAAAAAAAATGATAGAAATACAGACTGATGTCTGCTTCCATGTATTGAATTCGTCCTGAGGCCGAGGTCAACCGAGTTTGTTCCAAGGTCAATCAAGGTGGTTCCGAGACCAAATTGTCGATGAGCGAGGTTGTTCTGTGATGGGTTTTTGGTCGATGAAGAGGTTGACTTGCACCCGCACACTGCAGTTTAGTGCGCGGGTGCAAGTCAACTTGTGACAGTTCACCCCCAGACATAAACATCTGGGAGGATACTGTACATAGGCTGATGGTCACATGACACATGCACTGATGTGGACCCGGTGTACAAAAACACTCCAATGATGCAACCTTTTACACATCAGAGTAGCTCAGTCGGAATCTTTTCCTGCCACCACTTAAGGCTGTTTTGTCCAAGCTTCAGTTCCAAATCTTGGCCTTGAAGTGAGAGGCAAACTCTCTACTGGCTAGGGACATTATTTGATCTCGTGGTCCAGAGTCTTTACCCGCTGTTTAGGCTTTATCCTGGGGTAGTGCAAGGGATCTGCCAAGTCGGAATGGAACTAGATCCTCCAAGAGACATGGCAACAAAAAAAAAGAAAATAGTGATTGAAACCCTGGGGTTACGAGGTTTGAACCCTGAAACCCGGGGTTCGTCCCTCAGGATGGGCTTCTAACCCCTTCCTGAATCCCGGGACCATGCCTTAAGTACACATTATCCCGCTTTGTTAAGTCATACAAGTATATCAGACATAGTCTTCTTTTTTGGCTCTGTCAAATTTTTCTCTTCTCCGACTCAAATTTCATCAACACAAGTTGTTCATTTTTTGACACTTTATTTGGTAGATCAATTGTGTTTGGGAGAAGATGATAAGACAGGAAATGTGAACCAATTGAGTCTCCCTTTATATTTTTGTTTCACAGAGAACCAGATTACAAAAGCATTTTTGCAACCAAGCAAGTTCACTTCTTCATGAGAGCATCTCTAACAGTCTGCGAGTGAATTCGCCTGATTTCAGAAGTCTCCAAGCAGATCCCAAGATGTCTTGAACCTGCCACAACAGTCCAAATTGACGACTGTGAATCTGAGTGGGGGTGAGTGGAAAAATTCCAATTGGTCCACCCTAGAAACCTTTAGAAGCTTGGCTAGATGCCAAAAAAGCCTCATGGACTGCTGAATTCAGTACCATGTACCACATCAGCAGAAACATTGGAGATGCTCCATCCCAGTGGGGAATCCCACTTCCCAGGCCACATCTTTAGTCCCCTTGAAATTCTCTACATGACAATTTCAATATTTAACAAATGTCCAAATTTTAATAGCAGCTCTGCCTTACATTCACATGTAGACTGTTTGCAATTATTCTATCATTCTACTTGTGTGAATTTTTTGTTAGGAACCTGCCTTAACTCACCCAATGACTGTTCAGTATTGGACATGAGGAGTGAGTAATGAGGGATGTTGTTGAACTTTCACAGCCAGAGTTGAGAGGAGGAAGAAGTGACCAGGAAAAACAAACTCAAGACAAAAAGGTGTGAGGAAAAAAACAAGGTCAAAGAACCCCAAGGAGGGCTAAGGCTGCTAGCTTGTCTGGTGAAAAAGCACACACAATACAAAGAGTTTTACCCTGTAGATACTCCAGGGATTATGCACAGAATAACTGATGATTGTATTTCTCTGTGAGCAAGCTGCTAGATATGCTACTACAACTAGGGGCAGTCTGTGGGAAAACAGGAGAACCACATTGAATATACACTTAGAAAGAAAAGGAAAAAAAGATTAACAGAAATGTGAAATTCCAACAGGTGTGGTTGGACACAAGGGTGGAAGCACTGTTGGTATTCAAATTGGTGTGGCCAACCAAGCAATGAGGGAGGTCTCTCCCATTGGGTGAGCAACTACCTGATTCACCATCAATCAATTTTGAATTTAAAAATTGAAAGATAGATGCAATTTCAAAATTAACAAGAATCATTGATTGATTCAGAATTTGACCTACTGAGGATTTGAACCCAGAAAAATCTTGACACTCGTCAGCTAAGAGAAGTGGCAAATATCAGACTTAATGTACAGTACCCTTGCACATGTTTATGTCCGGGGGTAAAACCTGTGACAGGTTTGCTGCACCCGCACACCAATACCTCCTTGCCAACCACATTGATCAATCGGACGACACAACCCTCCCTACGTACCTTCAATCGATTCCGTCGCCGCAAGCATCAAAAGGTTCATCGATCGCTTGGACGACACGACCATACCATCACTGATACGGGTATAACCTTATTTCTGCCCCCTGGGTTTGGCTTTTTTTTATTCTCTTTTTTTATGTTTCACTTCCAATTCCCTTTCTACACCTACTGAAACCTGATTGTTTGATTTTCATGATGTCTAGGTTGAAAAACGAACCCGATGGGACGTTTGCGTGGAAAAAAAAACCTCACGACCGAGCAAAAAGCTCGCATCGCCGGCATGGTCGAGGCTGGGATGTCCCATGGCCGTGTCGCTAGAATTGTTGGCTCTGGACGAACCACGATCTCTGCGATTGTTTCACGAGCTCGGGATCGTGGAACTGTTGAAACTGCTGAGAAGAGTGGTCGTCCACGATTGAATAGCGATCAAGATCTCCGCCAGCTCAGACGATCTCTTGCCACTCATCCGAAGTGCAGCCTTGCGGAGATCACTGATACAATGGCCACTCCGGTCTCAAGCTCAACCATCCGAAGACGAGCTCATGAGATGGGATACAACAATCGTGTTGCAGTGAAGAAACCTTACATAAGTGATAAAAATAAAAAAAGCGACTTGAATTCGCTCATCAGCACCTTGAATGGACGATTGCCGACTGGTCCAAAATCATCTGGTCGGACGAATCTTCCTTTGAGACTGGGAAGAAGTCAGAGAAGGTCCATGTTTGGCGTCAAGATGGCGAGAGAATGAAAATTGACTGTCTCGAACCTACGATGAAAAGTGGCCGATCATCAACCTCAATCTGGGGCGCCTTCTTTGGAACCACAAAGATTCCAATCGTTTTCCTTCGATCAGGCGGTACCAAAGCAGTCGACTACATTGATCAGGTGCTCAAAGGCAGACTTGTCGAAACCTTGCCAGTCATCGATCCAGATCATAAGCTTTTGTTGATGGAAGACAATGCTCGCTCACACACGGCAAATCTCAGCAAAGCCTTTCGCAACGACAACAACATTGCCACCATTGAATGGCCGCCCCAGTCACCCGATTTGAATCCGATTGAAAACCTTTGGAAGATCTTGAAGACTGCAATTGTCAAAAACTACCAGCCCAAGTCCCTCGACGAGATGAAGGAGGCCATCCAACAGGGTTGGGATGATATCCCAGCTCGTCAGCTCAGAAACCTTGTCATGTCAATGCCCAATCGAATGCGCCTGGTTGTGGAGGCCTCTGGTGGGCCAATCAAATATTAATTTTTAATTTTTAATTTTCAATTTTTTTACTTTTTTTATTTCATAATCATTATCAACCACATCTCAGCTACCCTCCCCACTTTTTTTTGTATTTTTAAAAAAATTATTAAAAAAAATAAAAAAAGGGAGTGATCCTTTTATTTTTTTAAACTGTAATGAATTCTGGTTTTTGTTTTTTTTGTTTCATATTCCTTCTTATCATCCCACAATCCACCACTGCCCAAAAAATTGGAGATTTATCATTGATAGTTTTTTTTTAAATTAAGAAATACATGTGCCATAAACAACTGGGAGGGCACTGTACAAAGCCAAGCCTAGATATACTAATACAGGATTCAGGCTCAAGTTGGTTGGGTGTGTGTTGAGTTTGGACTGGCTGTCTCTTTGCCGGCAAATGAAGCAAAAAAGGCATTGCTGATTTGACGGAGGCTGAGTTAATAAGGTGTATCGGGTAGTACTATTATGATCACGGAACAACAGCGACATGAAACCATCTTCTCTGATCTGCTCAGTTAGGTCCAGCTACTTTTCGGGCTTCTTTTTGACCTGTTTCGGCATCCTTCATTTCCTTCCAACTGATTGCTGTCATACGGTTCCCGGTTTGAGAATGCTGTGCGAAAACGACGCCAAGATGATTCCGAAATGTCGCCAACAGATACCCCATTGCACTAGTAGGCAGTGAAATCTAATCAAGAGTGAAACGGTCAGCATCAATACCAATCTTCAGAGTATCAACACAAAGCTCTTCACCACTTCAGCTCGAACGATATCTCCAGGTCTGTAACAATCCCAAATTATTACTTTATCTTTATCCACTTGTCTCACATCCTGAGATCGAATTGCGCCTTGAAGCTCTTGACCGACAGGCAAAGGAAGGTCATCAACCATTATGATTGACACATGTGCTTGCGGTTTCGTCACCTTGGTAATCATCCCAATAACGATGGTTCCCACCACGGGTACCTTCGCGCATCGTGAAGAACACTCAACTGAAATCGTCTTGGAACATTGACGAGCTGATCAGCAACTTGATTTTGAGAAAAGTGACATCGACCACCACTTGAACTATCGACTCACGCCTGCATTCCTTACGGGTTGACCCACAACGGAGGCGTAAACTTTCCCCTGTCTTTCGAATGTGCCAGGGCCGCATTGATAGGTTGCTGATGGTTGAGACTCATCCGAGGTGATTAGCTCCTGGCCAGGGATGACTGATGGACTGGAGGTCTTTGGGTTGGAGATCATCATTGATTGACGATTGATTGTGTTGGATAGGGATCGACAGTGGCGGAGTCGGGGACCCGTTGACTTGAGGCGATGAGTGCGCGCTGGGGCGCAGCTTGTGTGCATCAGCTGCTGCGCAATATATGCAAAATCAATCATGCCGCACGTGATTGGCCCTGCCCGATCCACCCGACCCCCCGAACTGGTGACAGCAACTCAAGACACACGAACATCATCTCCCTTCCGAGGCCTGACGGAACCACGAAACATTTAACCGGCACCCCTGATCGATCACTCCACAAGCATGGCTCTAACCCGATACGCTCTCCGATCCCGGTCAATTGCCAGACCCGCCCTTTCCAAAATCAACACTGTCCCGAAGTTGGCGGCTTACTCCACGAGGGTGTCATTTCAACCTTTGAGCAGTGGTTCTCGGAGTACCATCCCTCAATTCTCCCCTGCACTCAACCGTCCAACGATCAACCTCCAGTCGATTCGATTCGCAAGTGGGGGTTCATTGAGCAAGGATGACATTCAACGTAGAATCCTCGAAGTGTTGGGCAGCTTTGAAAAATGTGACCCCGCCAAGGTTTGTGATGATGTCGTGGCTGCTGAACATGTTCTGAGTACTCAAAACATGTCCTCCTCTTCAATAGATTACCCCTACGGCCTCATTCACCACCGACCTGGGTCTGGACTCTTTAGATGCCGTCGAAGTTGTCATGGCGATTGAAGAGGTAAGATTTGATCAGGTGCCAAGTTCTTCTACTATTCTGCTGCTCGCAACTGAACGTGATCGGAGCCTATAGGAGTTCTCGATTGAAATACCGGATGAGGAAGCCGATCAAATCACTACGGTTAGCGAAGGTAAGCCCGCTCACCTAAGCTTTTTTTCCATACCGCATGAGCTGACGAGACTCCTTTCCTGCTTTTTCAACAGCTATCTCATACATCGAAAGAACCCCCGAGGCAATATAAGTTTACCGAGGAAGGGCCCTCGTCACAAATGAAAAATAAAAAATAAACCATCATTTTTCATTCCCCTACCCCTGAACCCGTCTTATGAGCGAAATAAAATCATCTGTTTAAATATTGATTGATATCGCCCCAGAACCCAGTTAAAGAAGCATCAAGCAAGTTATACAGTGGGGTTACCATTGATACAGTACAGCCCAACCAAACTTGAACTGATGATGTTTCTACCTAATAGAATTGAATCTTTTCTGAATCCCTCTCAGTATTTTATTGATTGATATTAGGGCTGGGAAGAAGGAATGGATGTCCAGTTAGCCTTCAACCATGGCATCCTGCAGTTCTTGACCACCCTAAGCCTGCATTCCTTCAGGAGCAGTGTGAGATCAGAGACCTGACATCAACTCCTGGGCAGACTTGCTGAGAACCAACTTCCACATGTGAGTTGGTTACAAGACAGATGCAGATTCATACGGATTCCCTGAGGCATTTTGTAAAACAAATGTGTAGATTTCCTCCAACTAAAGTAGTGGCTACCCTTGGATCAAAATTGACATTGCTTTTTGTTTAAGTTAAAGACGTCAACTCTGGTGGTTGGGAATTACTTGCAAAACTGGCCTGGCAATACTAACAGTACACCACAGGTCAAGATTTGTTATTCCAGCACAACAGCCCCACAGCACAGTTGGGATTTGGTTGGCCCCTAAATCTGATGGGGGTTGTGGGCTGTCATGAAAATGAGGAAGTGCTGACCTTTAGATCACCGTGAATTATCCAGGTGGCTTGACATCAGGATCATCTGCCGTGATTCAAAGGTAGGCCCAACACAAACACGCCATGATGAAGCCAACTATGGCTGTGTGTCAGGCTTCAGCTCAGTGCCAGTGGAGATGATGCCATGCCCAATTTTGTTGACATGACTTGACTAGGCTTTTAAAAAAAACATTTTTCAAAAATGAGTTTTCTGAGCCTCTTTCCATGCAAGAACAGGAGTCCTCATGTTCCAAAATGTGCAAAAAAAACCAATGTCTTCAACAGAAATGCCCTATTTCTGAAGAATATTTGATGGAATTGTAGGTGATGGGGCTGTTAATGGGCCTAGGGAGAAGAAAATATTTTTAGAGCAGTATACATTCCCCTGTTGTTGCATGATCTGCTCTGATCATGAGGCCTGCCTAGCATGGGCATGTAGGCTGTAGGTTCAAGGCAAGGGAGGAGAACCCATTGGTGGCAAGACTGCACCTCCCAATTGTTTTTGCAACTTGTTACACCCACAAGGGTCCACTGAAGTCTGCTTCTCGTTGGAAGTCAGGCTCACAGCATGACCCGGCAAGAGCCATCTGTCAGGCCATGCCCACAACATGATCTGACAAGAGGCCCACATCAAAAGGTGGGCTGACAGTGGCATCCAAGACCTCCTGCTCTTAGCCCAGCCATTTTTTATGGCTCAGGGAAGAATATGCACAAATCACATGGCTCAGGGAAGAATATGAACAACTCACATAGAGTTGGCTTCACACGTTACAGAATCCAATGATCAATCTCTATCTCTTGCTTTGTCACCATGAGATCCCCTCAATTCCAGCTTGGAACCTAAAGAATACCAGAATAATGAAGATGAAGAAGATGTTGAAGATGAAAACAGGCCCATTGATTAGTTTGCTTATTTAAAATTTGAATCAATGGTTTTCTCTTATCAATTTTGACCTCTTTATATGAAAACTTTTCACTCATATCAATATGCTCTCATTTTTCACAGGTTTTTATTTCTGGTTTGTTGAGCAAATACATTTAATTAAAGTACAAAGTACAGCTATTGAGAAATATTGTCGGAGCAAGAAGCAAAAACTACACTGTTTGGATTGATTGGAGCAAGCAAAAACTTGACTATTTAGATTGATTGGAGTAAGAAAAGAAACATTCCAATAGAGATGTAGAGTGATTGGTTCAAAAGGACATCATCATTTTGATTGAATTGGATTCAAGAACCAGTACAATTTAGAGTGATCCAACTAACTTCTTCATCAAAGTTGGCTAGCCTCTGTTTTTTCTCCTTCATTCAAAAGAAGCGCTACAGCAACCTCAACCTGTAGTTATTCCAATGGGGTGCTTGGTTGCAGGTTGCTAGTGCAGTCAAGGGGTGTTTGGTTGTGAAGAGCCTTGAGCAATGTGGAATGTGTGGGGTGGTTGCTATTTTGTGTGGCCAAACATTGCTATCCTTCCTAGCTTTAACCTGCACCAATGTAGATGCTCTAAAAGCACCATAATGTAGATCAGCAGCACTAACAACACATCAACACTACAGAAACATGCAGCTGCTGCAATATTTGCTACATATTCATAGCCCCACAGGTATTGAATTAGAGTAATCAAAGCCTAATCAAGTAGGATCTATCCTGCCTCATAGAGTATAATGGTTGAGTTTGGTAATTGATTCAAAAAGCAAGAGATTTGAGAGAAGAAAAACTTGTGTTGCCTTTTTTAAGCCACATGCTAATGTCATCTCAATCAGAGAATCTTCAAGAACTTGAAAAAACTCTTAGGGTAAAGTGAGATAAAGCACTACGAAAAGTATTGGATTGAATTGTGAAAATGTGTGGTAACATCGCATGTCACATACAATGTCACTTCACATTTTCAAAATGCAACAGAATTGCTAGGGCTAAAAATTCAATTGCATTTTGAAACTGCGAGGTGACATCACATGTGACATGCAATGTTACCACACATTTTCACAATGTGATCCAACACTTTTTGTAGTGAAGGGGGTCAGGGAAAATGATGACAGGGTTGAAAAAACTTTGTTGCAGCACAAAATAAAATCTAAAAAGGGGCTTGGTTAAATGTCTCCCAAAAATTGGAGAGCCGGCTCCCAAGCCCCGGATCTCCCAAAATTTGGGAGTCAAAACCCCAAAACATTTAAATGGTGAGAGTTGACTCCCTAAAAAATATTTAAAAAAATAAAACCCCATGTTGGTTTGAGATTCAATCCTCCAAAACCAACCAGGGTTTGGGGGTCAATGAGCCAAAAGATCCTCACTGAAGTGGCTGCGAGGATTGCTCTCAGCTGTTGAGGGTATACACTCTCAATGGCCAAGGAAAACCACCTTGGCCGTCTAGGTGTACACTCTTGATGGTGTGGTGAGACCAATCAAGGTCATATATAGTACAAAATAGCCATAAATAGTACTTTTCATGATATTACAACCAGATATACATATGCTACATAATTCATTATCACGTACCTTGTCAGCCGGAAGGAATACCTTCCAGATGACAAGGTTGTGCCTCACAGCCTCAAGACAGTACAGTCTCAAGGCCAAGAGGAACCCCTCTCGGCCTTGAGACTGTACAAGGTCTCAAGGCTGGGTCCCTCTGACGGGTATCCCTGGAGATACCCGGATACCCGCCAGGATTCTGAGGAGAATGGGGCATCCGCACCCAAATCTGAATCCTCTGGTGGGTATCCTCCAGTAGATAACGGGTATCCACAACAGATACCCTGAGGCCATCTCTAGTACTCTCAGTGGCCGGGATGAATCCTCCCAGCGCTTCTGTGGGGGTCTTTTGGCTCATCAACCCCCAAAGTTCTCGAGATCGTTTGTTCGTACTCGGGTACCTGTTGATTTTTTTCAGAAAATAGGTACCAAGTACCGCACCAGGCACCTCCCGGCGGGTACCGGCGGTACTTTTGGCAGGTACCGTGGGTACCTCCCCTCTCTTCCTCACTTAGTTTGACTGCAAGGTTCATTACAATCCTTTTGCATCTTGTTTGAGTTTTTTTTGGGGGGGATTTTTTGTGACTATCATTTTATTTTAAAAACATAAAAAATATAAAGTCAAAAACAATTGAAAAGAATTTAAAAAAAAAACTGTTTGTAATTGCTGAAAAAAAAAGAAACAAAAAAGAAAAGAGAAAAGAGAAAAAAAAGGAAAAAGAAAAAAGAAAAAAAATCAAAAGAACAGAAAAAAAAGAGATAAAAAAATAAAAAGAAAAAAGAAAAAAAAGTAAGAAAAAAAAAGAAAAAGAAAAAGAAAAAAAAAATGGCCTTGAGGCTTGGGGGAACCCCAGCGTCCCGGCCAGGTTGACCAGAAGGGTTTCCTTCCCGTTGATGAGGTACATGTACTCATCAACCAGAAAGAAACCCCTCTGATTGAATGAGGTACATCTACCTTCATCGACCGGAAGGAAACCCCTCCCGGTCAAGACTCATGGGGGCGGTACCCGGGTACCTCCCCTTTTTTTGCCAAAAAACCGGCACCGCCTGGCGGGTGCGAGGCGGGTGCGGGCAGTACCCGCCGAGCGGTACTAGGTACCTAGCAAAGGGTGCCAACAAACAATCTCTACCCCAAACCCTGGTTGGTTTTGGAGGATCAACTCCCAAACTGACCAGGGGTTTTATTTTTTTAAATATAATTTTTAGGGAGTTGACTCCCAAACCAGTCAAAGGTTTTGGGGGTTCAACTCCCAAATTTTGGGGATTCTGGGGCTTGGGAGTCAACTCTCCAATTTCTGGGAGTTATTTAACCAAGCCCCAGTAAATATTATATGGAATTGAGATACCTGTGATTCTTTTCTCTGACTGATTTTGGGCTAACAACACAGTTTAAAATATGTATGTCATTACCAACTTAGTAGAATGATTCCAAATCAGTTCCTACCAATGGCCCAATGAGTCAATGGAGACAAGGATGATATGGATTATTTTGATGAACTTAAGGATTGTGTAAGAACTGTCCCTTTTCCCTCTCTTGTGTATTGTTGTGTTTCCTTATTTCTTTACCATTCACTCATTGCTCTGTTCTTTCTTTGTTCCGTTTTTCCATGTTGTCTAAAACTCAGCTCTTTCACCTGAATTGAGATCAGGTACCAGGTAATCTCCATCAACACCCAAAGCTCTTCTCATATCAACTTGGAGTGGAGAGCCTTTTGTTGCCTAGATAACTTGATTTAGCCAGTCCGTCTAAATCAACAAATTTAGACAATAGAAACCAGTGTCACATGAATTGCTCAAAAGACAAGGGATTGATCTAGTTTGATAAGGCCCCTCAGGATTTCGTGCAACGTCCCCGGCGGACTCGGTTCAGTTCGGTAGTAATGTTCAACTAACGTCACATGTATTGCTCAAAAGACAAGTCCTTCCGTGTTTTGCTCGCATAAAAAAAATACTCGGTTCAATTCTGTAGTAATGTTTAACTAGCGTCACATGAATCGCTCAAAAGACAAGCCCTTCTGTGTTTTGCCCGAAAAGAAAAATATTCGGCGGATAGATAGAGATGAAAATAAAGGGTTCATAGAAGGAAACAGCTGCACTCTTATCTGACAATCGAACTCCGTGAGGGGAGCGCCGGCAATAGCAAACTTGATGTAAGATGAATAAGTAATGACATGATACCTACGCAAGGCAGCGTCGAGAATTCGTTGGACCGTCAACCCCTTGAGTAGGCAACTAACGACGACTTATTCCTACGGGCAGTTACAGCCTAGTTGTTTGGAACACACATGTCAGTTTGTAAGCTCTGGGTTAACTTTGAGTCAGGAGGGACTCACTGATGTAATATGTGTTTTGAGCGGGCTGATAGGAGCATTTGTAGAATTTCCCATTGAACTTGTCCTGCGCGGCTGCGACACGTCTCAATGGTCAGGAGGTACCGGCAAGAAATCTTTGGCTAAAGCAATAGTCTCGAATACTTACAGACGTATGTGGTGTAACGGAAGTATTGCTGCACAAAAACTTTGGGTATGCCTTCGCATTGGATGTATTGAACATTATTCCCTGACATCAGTTCATTAGGTCAACACGAGCCCACGAAAGGATTCAAAGCAGCGCCATCAGTCTCTCATGATTGTGATCTTTACCCTTCGACGATGAGGGCTGAAGCTCACAGTGGATGTAGGTGGTGGGGGTGGCACGAACACCGCAGGTGTCAAGAGAGCAGTAGTTGTCTTGACCAGTATTCGCCGAAGAAATGCAGGCTGGAGTAATTGGAACAGTTTATCAATAATTAGCAATATCAGGAAAAAAATCTGAGTGGGTGGGCTATTGCGACTTACAGCCCTTGCCAGTATTAACACCATCCAGAGGAGCAAAGTGGTAATCACATTGGACTTCTCTAGCAGCAGCCTGGCCCGAGAGAAGGCCAATGATAAGACCTGCGAGTGCAAAAGTGATGAATATTTTTTGGAACGAGTTCATGATGGACATTGTGAGTGACTGTGGCTAAGATGGCAAGAACAGGTAAGGTCGTGGGCGAATCGACTTGAAGCGGAACGTGCAACCTATGTTTTTATGTTGGCCGATGGAGCCCGCTTCCATCCTTTGGCTCAATATATGTGTGTATGGGTTGAAGCCACAGATGTTGTATACACACAGAGAAGCCCTGCTAAGCCTCAAGTCACACAAGGTCACACACCGGTGAATGCGGTCGGGTGAGCCACTTGCACAGCGACAGCTCTTCTCGGCCAGAACCTATACACCGGTGATCTCAGTGATGTGTATGAAGAGATGAATGAGAGGGACTTCATACAACCTCTCGACCACCGCCCAAGAAGGGCGTGACCCGTACGCGCACTCCGGCCGGAGGCTGCCTCGAGGTGCGGTTGGGGGCACCCCAATCCCTTAGGTATTCCACTTTTTGCCGGAGGGAGTTGAGCCGGATTTCTTGGTAATCAATCCACAAATTCCACCTCTTTGTCTACATATGTATGGTGTTGCAAGCCAGTCTACGCACTGGCACAAGTTGGACGAAAAAGAGGCCAAGCGGGCTTGGCC